ATCAGTTTGGGAGTTTGGAAGCTGCAGAGTGTGTTGCAGGTGGAGTATATGTACGCACTTACTGAGACCTGTCTCATCAGCCTGCATCATCCTTGCTGTACGTTGTTTTTGGGGCATCTACCTGTAGCTGTAGCCTTTCAGATGGTTGTCTTTGTTAGAGCCAACACAGGCAGACAGTAGCAGAACCAGTGTAGGAAGTGGAGTAAAAGAGCAAAGGTACTTATTTTTAGGCCAGAAGAAAAATCAAATGCCACAGAAAAATGCTTTTAGCTGTTTAAAATCTGGCAAACTCAGGTCAGAAGCTGTTACCAGTTACAACTTAATTATATGGGGAAGAACCCTTTTTCCATGATACTCTTTACTTTCATAAAGATGCTTTAAGTGTAACTGCTGCCTCTGCTTGAGATTTTTAGAAATTCTACTTAATCTGGCAGCTAGGTAATACAGTTTTCATTCATATGTTGAAGAATTTATCCTTAGCTGATGAGATAGTTGCTGGGATATGTTTTTAATTCTGAATTAAATTTCTTGTTTGTTACACGAATGCTTTCAGGAGCTCCTCCGTTCCTCAGACCTCCCGGGTTACCAGGGTTGCGTGGGCCTTTGCCTCGACTGCTGCCACCTGGTCCTCCCCCGGGGCGACCACCTGGTCCTCCCCCAGGCCCCCCACCTGGTCTGCCCCCAGGTCCTCCTCCACGTGGTCCTCCTCCTCGTCTGCCCCCTCCTGCCCCACCAGGTAAGGGGTTCTGTTTGTTTCAGTGCCAAGTGCCTTCTTGCTTTCTTTTTGCAGTCTTGGCTGTGGTGATCAAGCCAGTGAGGTATAATTGGCTGCCAGTTTGCCTTTGTTCCAATGTGGCTGCATTGTGCTATGTGTGATTACATTATTCTATGCAATAACAAGTAAGTGCTGTGCATAGTTTGGTAGCAAGAAATCTGCCCTCAAAAAGGTAATTTCAGAGTTTAAACTTTTACTCTGCTGCACTCTTTCTGAAGAGCCTCTGGGTGCTGTAATAGTGCTCCGCTAAATGAGTTGGATATCTGAATATTTATTTTTTGTGCCTGGGTCAGACATTTCTGATGACTGAAATTCCAGTGGGGTGGATTGTCAAAAAACTTTATTCTCAGATTATGACTGTAAAAGGGAGCAATAAACAAGCTCCTGTGACTTTCAGAGTCTGAAAAGCAGCATTTTCAACCTGGCATTTAGTGCAGATTTGCAAATTTTTTTTTTCCTAGAAGCTAGTGCCACTGCATCTTGTTGGGGGTTGTTTTCTTTTGCTTTTTGTTTTTGGCATTCTGAGCCTGTGCAGTTTTTTCCTCAAATATTTTCAAATTCCCAGATGTGGAAACAGCTCACGCTTTCTTTTCTTCTTGTAGGGATCCCTCCTCCTCGCCCAGGCATGTTACGGCCACCTCTGGTGCCTCCCTTAGGACCTGCCCCACCTGGGCTCTTTCCACCAGCTCCCATTCCAAATCCTGGGGTACTGAGTGCCCCCCCCAGCTTGATTCAGCGGCCCAAGGCGGATGACACCAGCGCGGCCACCATCGAGAAGAAAGCCACGGCCACCATCAGTGCCAAGCCGCAGATCACCAACCCCAAGGCGGAGATCACGCGCTTCGTGCCCACTGCCTTGCGAGTGCGCCGCGAGAACAAAGGGGCTTCCGCTGCCTCCCAGAGAAAACAAGAGGATGAGCCTGCCCTCCCGTTAACCAAAGCTGCCCCTAAGGCTGGATCATCTGCCCCTATCTCTGTACAGACAAAGGATGATGTGTATGAAGCCTTCATGAAAGAAATGGAAGGTCTCCTGTGACCTGTCGTAGTCCTAGTCAGCTCTCCTGCCCCTCTGAACACGGATCAGATCACTGTGGAGGGAGAAGAAGGGAAATTCCTCCTGCAAGCAACAAAAGGGCATGACTGGAAATAGTTCCCTACCCACAGGTTAACTTGCCAGTGTGCTGTGAATAGAGACCGCTGCAGCTGAGGTGTGCCTGGGGACCTTTCAGAGCCACCGCATCCACTTGGTGAAAGGAAATTGCAGTAAAGAAGGCGATGCTGCTCCCCTCAAGTCCTCCCCCTTCCTTAGAGGGCGAGAATGATATTCTGGGGATGGGGGTGACTATTCCCTGCCAAAATCCTTACACACCGAGTGCTCTGGTGAGGGTAGTGGAACAGGTTTTTAAGAAGCCAGAAAAGTGTTAGCAGCATTTCATACACAAATGGTTGTCCAGTTTTTATTTTCTGTACTGGTTTTTTTTTCCTGTAAATATTTTATAATCATGTTTTTAGTTGCAGTGAGGTTGATCAATCATCTTCCAGGGTAGTCAGGTAATTTGTTGCGTATACTGTACACTGGAATTTTGCATCCTCTCCCCTTTATGGTCATCTTGGTGGATTTTTATTGGCTGGGGAAACTTCATTTTGTCTTGTGAAAGACAATAAATGTTCAGTGTATCAAAATACCGCTTTCTGTGTGATTTGTGAAAAACTAGCAGGCAGGTGGAGGGGGGGAGGGTTCTTCGCTTGCCTTGGAAGATGATAGAGGCATTCAGAACCTCAGAAAAGAAAAGTAATAATCACATTATAAATAGTATATACTTTTCCCCACAAAGCTTCTGTTATATTTTTAAGTTCCTAAACATCTCTTTTAACCTTTATTGGTAGCTAGTAAAACTTAAGTCCTGAAATACTAGTAATAATTACAAACCAATTTATTCTATATACTCTGGGAGATTTGCGTCATATCAAGCCCCAGATAACTACTGGGCGCATCATGGACAGGCTATCTTAAATAAAAATTAGTAAGCAATTTTAATGTTAAAAGATTGCCGGATAATTTTAGTTGTAGCTAATAGGATACCAGACTAGCACGTACCTCAAACAATACATGTAGTTGGCTGTAAGTTTCAGGCTTAGCTGAATGCACCATATTTTGAGGTTAAATCTGCTTTAAGGAGACAAAGTTATTAGCTAACCAAACTTAAACTTGAAAACTTTGAATCTGTTTTCACAAATTCTGGACGCAATCAAAAATGCTTGCACAGCTAGTCTCTGTGCCGAGAACATGTAAAATTTACATAAGCCCGCCTACCTAATGCATATTCTCCACCTATCTCATGCATATTGTGTGATGCAACTTCACAAAATTCCCGAAACATGAACTTCTTTATTAGGCAACTTCTGTTGTGGAAGTTATCTGATTACATCAGTTATGTTTACCAAAGTTGAGAAGATTCAGCCTGGAAACAGATAATTCAGCTTGAAAACACCAGTAAACACCAGTAAACACCAGATTGCAGCATTACTGAAGTAATTTGTCTCTAGAATCAGAGAAACGTCTTGCATCGCGTCTTCCTGCCTTGTTTCTACACCTATGAGTAGTGCTGGGGTGTAAATGGTACTTCTGAAAATAACGCTTCTCTTTTATCATAACAATAACACATTTTCAAAGTAGCGCAGTAGCAGCACTTGTGAGGGTTAAAATACAGGATTATTTCTGAACGGACAGCGATGGCATTGAGCGGGGCTTCCCCAGTTCCAGGCAGGCTCTGCGCGGCTCTGCTCTCTCGGCCGGCCGGGCTGCGCTTCCCCGGCGCGGTCCTCGCCTGCGGAGCGGGGGCGGCTCCGCGCGTAGAGGCCTCCGGCGGCTCCCATTGGTCAGATTTGGATCCGCGGCGCCATTGGTCGGAGCGAGCCGGAGCGCGCCGCAGCCAATCAGAGAGCCAGCGGGGCGCGCGCCGGAGCTATAAATGCGGCCGCGCGCGGGGCGGCGAGGCACGTGACCGCGTCGGTTGGGGCGGCGGCGGAGCGGCGGCGCTGGGAGCCATGTCCGGGCGCGGGAAGCAGGGCGGCAAGGCGCGCGCCAAGGCCAAGTCGCGCTCGTCGCGGGCCGGGCTGCAGTTCCCCGTGGGCCGCGTGCACCGGCTGCTGCGCAAGGGCAACTACGCGGAGCGCGTGGGCGCCGGCGCGCCCGTGTACCTGGCGGCCGTGCTGGAGTACCTGACGGCCGAGATCCTGGAGCTGGCGGGCAACGCGGCCCGCGACAACAAGAAGACGCGCATCATCCCCCGCCACCTGCAGCTCGCCATCCGCAACGACGAGGAGCTCAACAAGCTGCTGGGCAAGGTGACGATCGCGCAGGGCGGCGTGCTGCCCAACATCCAGGCCGTGCTGCTGCCCAAGAAGACCGACAGCCACAAAGCAAAAAGCAAGTGAAACAAATCCGAGGAGCGTTCCCACCTCAAAAGTAACCCAAAGGCTCTTTTCAGAGCCACCCACTTCGTCATAAAAGGAGCTGTACATCCTAGCAAAAAACGTGCTAAAAACTCCCCTCTGTGCCCTCAGAAATGAAAATAATCCCCTCTCAAACACTCCAAACAAATCCTTTTAATCTTTGCTCTTGGAAAAAATCCAGAAACAAACGACCCCAAACACTTAGTATCTAAGATCTTAAATTGAAATTAAAATTTTGAAAAATTACTATGTGGTAAAATACATCACTTTGTGTTGATGGGGGTTAGGAAGCTTGTTAAGACTACAAAAGAACGCACAGCCCCATCGTGGCCTCTCCTTTATCAGCTCGGTCCTATGTGAAGTTCAGGTAGTTCACCGATGTCTTTAAAAACAGCCCTGCCCCCTCTAAAATACTTGGAGACCTACAGGTATTGTTAGAGTTTTTTTGTTTTGTTTTTTTTTTTTTTTTTTTTT